CAGGGACGCACCCTCTACGGCTTCGGCGGCTGAAGTTGAATCGCAAACCTTACTTGCACTGTCAAACCATCAAGGCTCTTTTCAGAGCCACCCACAAAGTTCATAACGAGAGCTGTTTATTACTGAGTTTTTAATTTCCTAAGTTTTTAGTGCACGAGTAATTCTGAAATATTTTAATCATTGAATTTTGGAGTTTGAAGTCTCATACAAAGTATAGTCCTAAGCGTCGTGAAAAAAACGGAGCATGCGAAATACCGAATCTGCTATGCTAAGATTAGACGTTTTAAATAAATTCATTAGTGTAAACTCTGTAGCTTCTATTATGAAATTTTTTTTTTTTTTTTCGCTAGTGAACGCAGGACCGCCATCACCTTAGCTGCAAAGCATAACAATTGTGTAGATGCGGTGCCCAAGCTATGACGGCTTCAGGAAGGAAGTGCCTGTAATTACGCTGGTATTTTTTACTCCAATAGGAATGGGAGGATTACAATCCTCTAATTTGCATAACGCCCTTATAAAAAGGGGGGGGTAGGCGCCATTTTCGATGTTGTTAGGCACAGTGGCGAGCTTGCAAAGAAACTTTTAAGGATGCCTGAGCCAGCGAAATCCGCTCCAGCACCGAAGAAGGGCTCCAAGAAAGCTGTCACCAAGACGCAGAAGAAGGGCGATAAGAAGCGCAAGAGAGCGAGGAAGGAGAGCTACTCGATCTACGTGTACAAGGTGCTGAAGCAGGTGCACCCCGACACGGGCATCTCGTCCAAGGCCATGAGCATCATGAACTCCTTCGTCAACGACATCTTCGAGCGCATCGCCGGCGAGGCCTCGCGCCTGGCGCACTACAACAAGCGCTCCCCCATCACCTCGCGGGAGATCCAGACGGCCGTGCGGCTCCTGCTGCCCGGCGAGCTGGCCAAGCACGCCGTCTCCGAGGGCACCAAGGCTGTCACCAAGTACACCAGCTCCAAATGAAACGGTTTTAACCTAAACCTAAACGGCTCTTTTAAGAGCCCCCCAGTTTTCCTAAAAAGAGCTGCAATTACTTTGGTTTACGATTTAAATCCTTGCATGCATAAGAAAAAATGTACGTTGTGCAAAGCACGAAAGATCACACAACTTTTGCTATTAACTAGCTGCCATTCTACCTGAGCAATATTTGTAGCAATAAACAGCTCTCGTTGTGAACTTTGTGGGTGGCTCTGAAAAGAGCCT